GCAGAGATACCGGTATCTTGCTATAAGGTACCGTAAGATGTCTGGCTGTACAGAGCTCTTTCGCTAAAACCTTTGTCCTTTATGCAGTTTATTTCAACAATTTTCAGACATTTTCTTGACTTGTGAGGGGACTATTGACTAACCCATTTAGAATATGTAGGGGTGGGGAATGTGTCCCCATGATCTGCGTCCATGTTATAATTATTATCATTATCGTATAGTTTTTTTCCATTACTAATACTATAGGTATTAAGTATTATTATCATCATACATATTTATTATTATTGTGACCCTCACTGACACCACCACCGTCTAAACGTTCATCATCGCCATCATCATTTTATCATCATCATAGTAGTTTCACTAACGTTAATATTATTTATGTTGCTGTCAACATCAGCAATAGTGATAGTGAAACTGATGATGATGATGATATTTTTAAATCATAGCTTCTCACATCTCTTTGCTCACACCACCTAAAACCGGACAGGCTACTACCGTTTGTATAGTCAGTGTCTGTAATATACGTGACTCTAGCTTTGTCTGTATTGTGGTACGTTTTTATACAGGAAGCATTTTAAGTACTTATCGATTTGACAGCAAGAATTCGCTTGATGGAATATTAGACATGTTCTGTCAAGAGACAAATAAACATTCGCCACTGGGTAAGCACAGGTGAGCTAGAGGGCGGTGTTGTGATGACAGTTGAGATGACAGACAAGAGGAAGTTCATGGGGACTGGTGTCAGTGATGACCAGTCCTTGCGGAATAAAGTAAAGTTAATTGTTTCGTATATTTATTTATTTAACACTTCATTTCTTTAGGGTGGCCTACAACTTAGTGTTAGCTTATATCTAGGCCTATATCTATACATGATGATATTAAGCCTTCGTGATGCTAAATGACTGTAAAGGTATTAGTGATGATAGTGTTTGTGATGACGATGATATTAATAGTGGTGATAGTGACACAGAAATTAACATCACTATGGTAATTATATTGAACAGGTGGGGGAGTTGAACTTAGCAAAGCAACAAAACTGAGCTAGATATTGACATGTAAATATAACCCCTCTTCGCCACTCTCCTGGGATCCGGACTCGTTGACACTTGGTGCAATTTAATCTACACACTCGCAGTCAGCAAACACGTACAATCCACATATCGCGATTGAATTTCAAACGTTTACCTAATTCACAAAAAAAAAAAAACGCCTTGCAAATTAAAGCGGTTCTCTTATAGACTATAGCCGCGTGTATGCCCTACGCGCTGACGGCCGACGAGCGCATTTGTAAATGAGGATACGCTGGGTATCACAGCCAATATTTGATCGAGAGCTTAAGATGTTGAAATTTTCAACAGGCATAGAAGGATGAATACATGCTCATTAAAATTAAATGAAAACGGTGCTACTACTTTAACGACACTGTGAGAATCACTACTACCACGCGCAACAGGAGAACGTTATCCGTTATGCTTAGAAATTCACGATCCAAAACGCTGTAAGCGAGTAATGTTAAACTGTTTATTATGTGGTAAACGACCGTTGAATGCCTAATCGTGTCGTGTTTGTTGCTGATAATTGTTGTAGGACAATGCAAAATTATTGACATTTTCTACACATGTTACGACTTGGCTAGTTATGAATGTTGCTAACTGGATTATTATACGTGCTGCAAACGTTACAAAGGATGTTCATTGTTTCAAATAAATTTCATTACGTATCCAGGACATAAGCAGGCCTACTTTCAATGTTTTTTTCATACCCCGTACCTATTAAATGTGTTTTAAAGAGTTTACTTAAAGTAAACTCTTTAAAACACATTTTAAAAACTTATCAGTAAGCCGACTAAAATTGTTAATGTAGGTCTATTACTTTTTATTTTCAACTTTACCTGGTCTAATAAACAAGTTTCCAATACATTTGGAGCATACCGGTAAGTCGTGTATTAATAATGATCGGTATCTCTTATGCCCACTCTGATCCTCTACATTAAAAATAGGAACGAACTATTGTCACCTCTCCAATTAGGCTGAAAATACACTCAAATTACGAGATCTCAAGCTGACATAAACATTTTGAAGTTCTCTTGTAGAATGAATACACTTCTTATATTTGTTTTTGTTCTATTTAAGAACCAGATTAGACGCGTTTATTGATTGTGAGCTTTCAGACCTTTCTAGCGATCATCGTGCAACATTCTTTAACTTTAAAGTACCCTGGTGTTCACAAGGTCGATACCTGAGTAATGTCCTACTCTTGTACCCGCCTACTGGGCGCTAAGAAACCATCGGTAACGTCCAATTAGTCCAGGTTTGAAAGGGGCTTAAAGAGGAGACACATGCAGTGGTATTAATTTGACACAGTGAGGGGGTCCTACTTGTTCCAATAACACTAATGATGCTTCGATTCTAGGGTGATACTTCTTGTGATTAGGCCTACACAATAATGATGGTAAACTTACTCTACGTAGCTTAACCATGCAAACTTCAGCCAGATTTAGATTCAGGACAGGCAATGAGAAACAAACATTTGTTTTGTTTCCTAAGAACAGTGAAATTTGAAATCATGGTTGGTTGGTTGGTCGGTTGGCATTTTTTTTCCAATGCTATAGGCCTAATTCTAGGGCTCATTGTCAACCATCATTCACTTTAAAATTTCGGTTGGTACCGTAACGTGGTTAAACTCCGTGCATCGAATGTCTTAATTAAACTTTGAAAACTGGCCCTTTTTATAAAATTATATTTGCCAAAAATATTGGGGGTGGACCGTGCATGGGCAACACTTAGGTTTTTTTGCCTCATAAAAGAGGTCTACCGTTGCATAGGCTACCTACTTCTCCGAGTGTTCAACAATTTAACTGTAACTATACCAATGAATACCTGTAACGGGACCAGCCTGATATTTCAAGAAGTGATATACCGTATTCAACATTCATAATTGTAATATTATTTATTTTTCAAAAATAATAACTTAGGCCTACCGGCTTCAATTTACAAACAAAAA